CTTCTTGGCCCTAGAAGCCTGGGATGGCAGTAGGGGAGCTTCCTTCCAGGTGCTGGGACCGGCTGAGCTTCTCTGCCCTAGGAGCCTGGGATGGAGGCGGGGAGCTTCCTTCCGGGTGCTGGGACCAGCTCACCTTCTTGGCCCTAGGGGCCTGGGATGGCAGTGGGGGAGCTTCCTTCTGGGTGCTGGGACCGGCTGAGCTTCACTCTGTACCATTCTATTTATGAAACGTCTACAATATGCAAACCTATAGAAAGTACGTTAATGTTTGCCAGGGCATGTGGAAGAGAATAATTGGGACTAATGAGTTGCAGGTATGGGCTTTCTTTTAGGGTGACAGAAATGTTCTAGAATTGGATTAGAGACAATCCTACAAATAGAGAATATACCAAAAATCTCAATTGTCAATTTTTAAATTATGAATTTTAGGTTATGTGAAGCATACATTAATATGTTTAAAAGTGCTATTTTAAAAAGAAACCTAATACACTTAAAAATGGTTAAAATGGTAAATTTTGTTATGTGTATTTTGAAACAATTTTTTAAAATAAAATTAATTCTAAAAGAAATCATACAAGTAAAGAGAGATTCTGTGTTAAGGAAGAAAGAAAACAGGCCTGGCCATGGAATTAATGCTAACTGTGCCATCAGAGTCATGAGACATGTACTGTCACATCTGGTCCAGTTAGAAACAGTAGGATACTCTGAATCCTAACCTAATAATGTGCAGTGTGTGATGACCTGCATGTACACTGGTTCCCCCAATAAAAATGGCACTTGTTCTTTGATTTATGAATAGCATTTATTATACACTCAAAGTACAAAATATTATTTGTTAAAGCAATAAAAAGGCCTATATGTGAGTTTAGTTCATACTAATAAATGTATCCTGAAATTTTTGAAACTGTTTTTCTAAACACTTAAAATAAGTACCTTAAAATGGTACATTTGTTTCTTAAACTTGCTTAAAGTCTCTAGCGAAAGGTAAATAAATAAATAAGAGGCTCATCTCTGAGACCTTTACAGAGTACAAACATTAGCTCATCTGTTCAGCCTAGAAATGACTTATGGGTACTGACAGTGCTTTATTTAGTCTCGTACTGACCTTCAGGACAGGTGGAAGATGTCACTTACTGACAATGGAAATAAATGGCAGGCAATCTTACATCCTTTCAAAAAGAGTAAGCTAGGAACTGGAGAATTCAAAGAGTTCCGTCTTCCCTCTGATCCCTGGAAGCTGGGCGCACCACTGTCAGTAATGAGCAGCAGAACTGGGTTCAAAGCTGCTGCAAACTGAGGGTTAGAAGGGCAACCCCTGCTCTTCACTCTGTACTCGACAGGAGCATCCGGGGGCAAAGCAAACAGGTAGCAGCACCTTATCCTGAGTGCAGACAGTAAGGGTATGCACAGTCACCGTTGGCAGGGAATTTAACAACTATAATGAAACCAACCGAGAGTTGGTTTGCTTGTTATTATCACTGCAAACCAGTAATTACAAACAATGTCAGTGGTAAAACCTCCCTGCCAGGGCAGACTCCCACAATCCCTTGAAATGCTCCTGCTCCAGTCACACATCATAAATTCTGTGTATGTGTATGTGTGTGTGTGTGGGCACACGGATATATGTATATATACATACATGTTTTGAAATATATGTGTATAGTCTAACTCCATCAGGTAGCTTTAGTCATGACACAGATGCCTTTGCTGACTTTAAGGAAATAAGAAAATAAGCCAATAATTCTTCAGGAGAGCATGACTTTTCAAGAACTTAATCCATTAAGATAATAAAGTTGGCAGTTGTTGTTTAAATGCTAAGTACCCATCACTTGGCTTTGGTTTTTCTGTAATTACCTGGTTAAAGAGATGCTATTAGTAATTTAGACTTGGTAGAGTAAATCTTGATGAAAACACTAATCAGTAAAGCATTACTCCAGAACCTTTGTGCAGCCAACCCATTTAGTAAGTAAAATATTTTTAGGGCTTTATGAGTATATAAAGTCTATATAAATGAAAAACAATATACTTGATTTAATACCTGATCAAAAAAATCTGATCTTCAATTGTTTCACGTATAATTAAAGTATACATTTTTCTGAGAAACTGAGATGTGGCATCTTGAATCACTATTTGAAGAGAAATAGTAAGGGATACCAAAAATATCCTAATACATACAAAAAACAACAGCAGCAGCAACAATGCTTACCTAAACCTTCAGATTCAAAGAGGTATGTCTGGTCAACCCCAATGCCCCTGCACCAGTGGAGGAAGTTTGCAGTGTTGTCTCTGGCAAAGAATGAACCCGATGTGGCATCTTTTTTACAAGGCACTTTTCTCAGTGGAAAATTCTGGAAAATACAAAGATAAAACTTTAAAATACATCAAGGGTACTTTTATTAGATATTCATTCTAGTATTACAAAGTAAATTCTCACCACATTGAATATAACTAAACAGTACACAACTTTAGGGGAAAACAGGTATCTTCCAAACTGATTTTTGTTTTGCTCTAAGTATATTCTAGAAAATGATTCCAAGGAAAGCAATCTGTCAAAATTATCAGTAGGATCTTGGTTCCAGAATCTCCTGCTTTTAAAATTCACACAAGAATCTTAAGGTAAAAGCAACAATCCAAAGCACATCATGATGGTATGTCTCTCCAAACATAGTTCGATTTGAACAAAATTATTGCTACATTCTCAGTTTCCGGGCATACATCTTTCTGCTTACTTCCTTACATACAAAATCATATGGACAGTTCAGCTTTCTTGAGGAAATTATCAAGTAAGGAAGTAGTTAGCCATTCTTAATTCTTTGGAACTTAATAGCTTAAATTCCATAGAATCTTTCTTTTTTTTTTTTTTTTAAACTATTTGGCCCAGGAGTATTTAGATAATTCTGGTGATCTCAGATGGGAGCAGTAATTGTATAAAATTTTTGCTTGAAAATGCAATCCATGACTATGATTTTTTTAATGCAGTAAGTACAATAAGTCTTTCTCCACTCTACCTCTTACTTCCTCTCTCCATAGAGATAACCACTTTTACCAGTTCCTTGTACATATTTCCTGTTGCTATTATTTCCTAGAATTAAAATAGCCTGGGAGGTTTTTGAATTGAATACAGAATACATCATTATTACCAAAAAGTTAAACAATATAGAAAAAAACATGAGTAGTATCAACTGAAATCTTTTCACCTACATTTTATAACATATCTCTGCAAAACTATACACATAGCTATACCTACAAACCATCCATAAACACGCTGTGCTGCAATTTGATTTGTCTGAGTATGTGCACAAGTATACTTAGTGATAGGCTGTAGGCATCTTTTAGGGTTAAAAATAATATTTAAATCATTTCTAATACCTGTATAATATCCTGATGTGTCTAGGTACTATAATTGATTTTATTTTATTGGTACATTTTAGATGTACAACATAATGACATTCATCATTGGAAATTTGCACCTTTACATAGTCTCTCTTGGTTCTTGTTTTTCCCCCTTCCCCTGCCCTCCCTATTTACAAAGACTTTGTTTCCATTTTTTCATTTTCTCATATTAATTCCATTCCCTTCTTTC